AATTGGTTACATGCGCCCGTAATTCACCTCCAGCACCGCGTAAAATCCACCCGTAATCACTGGGTCTTCACCCGTAAGTTTGCGTGTAATTGGTTACATGCGCCCGTAATTCACCTCCAGCACCGCGTAAAATCCACCCGTAATCACTGGGTCTTCACCCGTAATTTTGCGTGTAATTGGTTACATGCGCCCGTAATTCACCTCCAGCACCGCGTAAAATCCACCCGTAATCACTGGGTCTTCACCCGTAATTTTGCGTGTAATTGGTTACATGCGCCCGTAATTCACCTCCAGCACCGCGTAAAATCCACCCGTAATCACTGGGTCTTCACCCGTAATTTTGCGTGTAATTGGTTACATGCGCCCGTAATTAACCTCCAGCACCGCGTAAAATCCACCCGTAATCACTGGGTCTTCACCCGTAAATGTTCACCTGTATCCTTGTGCTCAAATTACGGGACCCGTAACGTGTTACGGACCCGTAATTTCTGTCAAATTACGGGTGGATTGACCCAAAATTACGGGTAAAATGACCCCCCTTTTCCCAGAGTGATACGTGCAGGCCCTGTGGTCACAATCAACCCAAGTATGTAGACACCTCGTACATGCAATATTAAGTTGTCCTTCCTCTAACCTCGCACACAAATGACTGAGTGACGATATCGTCACGATATTGGCATCAATGTTGGCATCAATGAACTAAAGATAACACTTGCCCACATGCATATCCATGTTTACAGATAACATGGCCACCAACGAAACTCATCCTCAGCTATTCATCGCTGCTTGCTTGCATCTATTTAGTAGTGTTTCATGCATGGATGCACTGCATAACTGCACCTGATCTCCCTGGCCATATCTAGTGTCCTTGCCATATTACCACAACTGCATCCACCGCTTGGTACTCTTTTGAAGTCGTGATCTGACAATTGGTCTTGGGACGGGTATCTCTGTTCGGACCTGGGCCCTATTCTTATTTGAAGCGGTCTTGCAATCGATGGTTATCTTAGGATAACCATCACACAGGCCTGTGGGTGCTGCCAGCACATGTGTACACAGGGACCCTGAGGTAGATTGAGGTTGAGGACGCCCTCTTCTGCTAGAGGGGGGATAATTACAGTATCCTGGGCATATCACGGGATCTGCATCCGCCTATCAGTATTTTAATATTTTCCTGAAGTCCTGATACAACACCTTCTTAATAGGTCCCCTGCCTGGACCCGAGTAGCACTACATAGCACACACCTGTAAACATGTGTGTTCATGCAAGCGCGTTTGCATAAACATAAATGCATACATGTACGTATATGCATTTCGTATACAGTCTGACTTGCTGGTATAATATATAGATGGGGCAGCAGGTCCCCTGATATCATGCCCAGGCACCATGTAGAGAGCATAAAAGCGTCACAAACACAGTTGCACGCCAATCGAGCGGCCACCAGTGCAACGCTCACAGCCTTCGTGAGAAGGCTTCGAAGGCTTTTAGAATTCGTTACTAAAGGACTAGGGGGGCGGCTCTTCAAAGCCGAAAAGGGGCTCGGCCCTGGTGCAGCCACTTGACCCCCATTTGATTCACAGGCCAGTCTGTACGGCATAGGCTGCAAGGACAAGAACGCCGTCATGTTTGGAGTACACACTTGTTATTGAAATTCTTAAACAATTAAGGTCGGCAGACTTGCTACGGCGGCGTAGACCTGTCTGGATCGTTGCAAGCGTGCAGCCACCATTGCTGCTGTCGCCATCCCCACTGTCCCCATTGCTGCCGTCACCATCCCCAAAGCCGCCATTACCGCCATCGCCATCTCCACTGCCGCCATTGCCACTGTCGCCATCCCCCTCGTCACCAGCCCTGCTGTTCCACCGTCGCCATCCCCACTGTCGCCCGAACCACCACCCCCACTGCCACTGTCGCCATCCCCGCCATCACCACTGCTGCTGCCGCCATCCCCACCGTCGCCACTGCCACCGTCGCCATCCCCACCATCACCATTGCTGCTGTTGCCGTCCCCGCCGTCACCATTGCCGCTGTCGCCATCCCCCTCGTCACCATTGCCGCTGTCGCCATCCCCCTCCTCACCAATGCCGCTGTCGCCAACCTTCCACCATCGCCGTCCCCACTGTCGCCCGAACCACCGCCCCCACTGCCGCTGTCGCCATCCCCGCCATCACCACTGCTGCTGCCGCCATCCCCACCGTCACCATCGCCGCTGTCGCCGTCCCCGCCATCACAATTGCTGCTGTCACCGTCCCCGCCATCGCCATTGCTGCTGTCGCCATCCGTGCCGTCACCATTGCTGCCATCGCCAACCCTGCCGTCGCCACTGCCACCGTCGCCGTCCCCGCCGTCACCATTGCTGCTGTCGCCATCCCCCTCCTCGCCAACTCTGCCGTTCCACCATTGCCGTCCCCACTGTCACCCGAACCCCCACTGCTGCTGTTGCCATCCCCGCCATCCCCGCCATCACCATTGTTGCTGTCACTGTCCCCGCCGTCCCCATTGCTGTTGTCACCACTGCCACCGTCACCGTCACCGTCCCCGCCATCACCATTGCCGCTGTCACCATCCCCCTCCTCACCAATGCCGCTGTCGCCAACCTTCCACCGTCGCCATCCCCACCGTCAACCTCCGCCCCCTTCATCCCTTCCCCCTTCACCCTTCCCCCTTCACCTCCCCCACCATCGCCACTGCCACCATCTCCACCTCCGCCCCACATCCCCCTCTCCTCTCTCCCCCCTGTAGCAGCTGACCGCTGAAAAGGTCTCTCGAGTTGCTGGTGGTCGCGCTCTGCACGTATTTATAGCACCGTACTGTGTACCGGCTGCTACACCCCCATATCCACCTTTCCTATCTTCCTCACTTCTTCCATGTGTGTTCACATCACCTGATGATGCAAAAGGAGGAGAAACATTTCTATAAAATACCTTATGGACTACGGTCTCACCGGTCTCACCGGTTGTCGGGGCTCCACTGCATTTCCGCCTGACCCTTCGGTGGACTCCGGGCTCCACTCCATGTCCATCGCCACTGGAGACGAGGCGCCTACACTGACAGGGGGGACCTAGCTTCAAATCGCTGATGGTCTACATGTGACGTGTCTGCTAGTTTCGTTTGTTGTACCTGTTTCATCCGGCTGGTTAGCTTGAGCCTGTGCTCCTGCACCAACCAATGCAACTGGAGCTTGTTGCTGAGGATATTCATCTGCACCATATCGGACGTCACAAGTTTTAACCATACAGAGTACGTGGCAATGTATTGCAACAGTGAGAAATTGCGACCATCTCGTTAGGAGCCACGGCCTCTTTTGCCATTATTAAAAAGCTGGACGCACTGCTGTCTGGTGATGTGATAATATGCACAAGACTTGCACTGATCATTGCGTCCACAGGACGCACACAAAAATTCGAATTTGGAGAGCGGCCGTCGCAGAGGTAACGGGGATATGTTTTAGCTGGAGGGGCCATAGTTATTAGCTGTTATTATACCTTCAACAGCCAGCCAGGCTTGCAAACAGATGCTGTGTGCGTTTGTACTCGTTTTGCCGAACGTAGCTCCTAAACACTATGCACCATCATGCTAAGTCATGTTCTCACTAAAAACAATGCTGGCACGACGATATCAGAAGGCCTCTATAAAGGAATCCGTGAATTATGACCACTTATGCCAAACTCCTTCCATATGTTCTGAAGGCCCCTCAGCCCTTCATTCCGAAATGAGCATGAAACGAACACCAAATGAAGGGAATCCCGGGAATCGAAGGGAAGCCGGTTCCCAGAGTGATAGCATAATCATTATTGAATGAACAGTTAGCTTTCTCGTGATGCGGCAATCTGTAGAATGACATACCGTAGTGCTACTTATAGTTCGTGATCGCTTTGTTCGGGGAGGGGTCAAAAAACTTTCTGAAATTTGTACGTGCTCTTTGAATTTCGGGGAAGGCCGGACCAGATTTTGCGGGCATGATACAAATTTCGGGGCCCCTTCCAAAGTTTCGGGGCTTTTCAAACTGCAGCTTCCAGTCAGTCTCCCTCCACCGGGAACCCTTAGGCTCGCCTCGCCGGCTGCCGTAGCATTGACCGCATTGCGCTCGCGCCTAGCAACCTCCTCGTGCTCCATTGGCTCACGCTGGGCCTCGACAACAGCATCATCAAGCCTAACTGGTGCAAATCCAGCTCGGTCGCTCACCGGAGCGTTTGGTGCTAGCGGTTTCATCCCGCATTGAAGCAGGGTTGCCTGTCTTGCACGTTTTCCAGCGTTGTTCATGTCCTACGTTTATGACTATATTTTATGTATTTAAGAGCTGATTTCCGCCTTGAAATCCTAGTTTTTGCGAAGTTTGATCGACCGGCTTCGAAGGGTACGATATTTCGGGGCTGTGGTCCCTTGGGATACCTTTGAATTTGTACGTGCTACATATTCGTGGTGCCTCCCGAATTATTATAGCACGAACTATAAGTAGCACTACGGTACACACAAAGCAGGAGTGTCATTGCGGGAACGTGTGTTGCCGCTGCTGCACCAAATCCATGAGTCGGGACTGCCCGATACGTAGGTAGTACTTCCGTGGCATCCATGTTCGACGCCGGCCCTTCGGTCTGCTGGCTGGCAGTTCTAGGCGCGCCAAAGGTGCTTCATGGACCAATTGTTGTCCACTCTCAGCCAGAACGCATTCGGGGATTTTCCAATTGCACATTTTGAAGTAGGAATGCAGCGGCAAAGCTGACGGTATGTCGCAAAGGCACACTTCGTTTGAACTTGGATTGAATCAATGAAGAAGAGAATAAGAAGGACAACATTCAAACAGGCACACAAGCGAGACGCCAGGTGCTTAGAGCGTTGCCATGGGTCGGTCTAAAGTTGCAGGGCATGAAGGAACCAACCCATAAAGGATCATGCCGTTTGCTTATGAATCTATAATGTAAGGGACATGCAACGACGTCAGAGGCAAGGGCTGCGGCGTGAGGGGAAGTCAAACTCGAAGCCATGGAAAGCTATCTTCGCGTTCCGTTCTATCTAAATTCATTCCCTTGGTTTATCGATAGAGAATTAGAATGGATTTCAGCCGCAATTTAAAGCGGGGTGAAATAAGATGAAATGTTACACCATGACTGACTGACTGACGGACGGACTGACGGACTGACGGACTGACGGACTGACTGACAGTAGTGTACCTAGGGTGCTCGGCCCCCCGAATGGCGCTTCACGCCCGGGGCCTCGCCCCAAAATACCTGCAAGCAATCGAAACAGTCATTGTGATTGTAAGAAGGGATCAGCTCCCCTGACATCTCCCTGAGTACTCTTTGCCTGTATTACATTGATGTGAATTGTTAGGAGGTGTCAAATCCCCGGATTGAATCCGGTTGTGAACGTAGCATACACCAGGCAGCATTCTCTTACCCCAAAGGTGGATGCCCGGGTGGGCGAGAAGTCTACCAGCTGAGTAAATACAATAACAAATAAACTCACAATCCTTCGGGATCTCAAACAACCAAAATCCTACGGGATATGCCCAGGGGCGCCCGAGGACGTTCACTCTAAGGGGGGAGGAATGT